CACAAATGACAGTTTATGCTAGAGAGGATGTGGAGCAAGGGGAACACTCCTCCATTGCTGGTGGAAGTGCAAACTTGTGCAGCTACTTTAAAAATCAATATGGTGGTTTCTCAGAAAATTGGGAATTAATCTACCTCAAGATCCAGATATACCACTCTTGGGCATATACCCAAAGGATGCTCAATCATACCACAAGGACACTTGCTCAACTATGCTCAGAGTAGTTTAATTTGTAATAGCCCAAACCTGGAAACAACCTAGAGGCTCCATGACCAAAGAATGGATAAAGAAAATGAGGTACATTTACACAATGGAGTTTTACTCAGCTGTCAAAGACAATGACATCAAGACATTTTAAGGCAAATGGATGAAACTAGAAAAAAATCACCTTTAATGAGGTAACCCAAACCCAGAAAGATAAATATAGTATATACTCACTTATAAGTGGATATTAACTGTAAAGAATAACTATGCTACAATCCACAGACTCAGAGAGATTAGGGAACAAGGAGAACCCAAGGTGGGATGCATTGAACCCCTGGGAAGGGGAAATAGAAGAAATCTGCTGGGTGGACTGGGGGTGGGTGGAGATGGGAACTTGAGGGATCAGGTTGGGAGTGGATGGAAGGGGAGAGTACTGAAATAGATTACTGGAAGTTGGGGCATTTTGGGGTCAGGAAGAAACCTGATGCAAGGGAAATTCCCAATAATCTACAAGGATGACCCCAGCTAAGACTCCTAGCAATAGTAGATATGTAGCCTGAACTGGTCATCTCCTATAATCAGATTGGTGACTACCCCAACTATCATCAGAAAGCCTTCACTAGTAAGTGGTGGAAACAGATGCAGAAACCCACAACCAAACATTTGGCCAAACTCAGGGCTGAACCTGCTGAAGAGACAAAGGAAGAATTATAGGAGCCAGAAGACTCAAGGACATCACAACAAAACCCACAGAAACAACTAACCCAGCTCATAGGAACTGACAGCCTGGGAGCCTGCATGGGACCGACCTAGGCACTCTGCAAATGTGTGATAGATGTGTAGCTTCATCTTCTTGTGAGACTCCTAACAATGGGGGAAAGGGCTATCCATAACACTTTGGCTGGCTTTTGGGAACCTATTCCTCATACTGGATTGCCTTGTCCAGTCTGAATAAGAGGGAGATGCTTAGTCTAAGACAACTTGATATACCATGCTTTGCCGATACCCATGGGAGGCCTACCCCTTTCTGAACAGAAACAGAGGAGGAATGGATGGGGATGGGGTGGGGAGAGGAGGAAATAGGATGAGAGGAGGGAGGGGAAACTGTGGCCAGCATCTAAAATAAATAAAATAAATAAATAAATAAAACTCTAAATGTTCAGTGGGTGCACATGCTTTCCCAATAACTAACTAGGCAAGTTATAGAATTAGCAAGATAGCAATATAGAACAAGCATGAGAAGTCTTTATTTATTCCCTACCCCCACCCCACAACAGCTCTCTCCCACCCTTCTGTCCTTATTTGGATGCTTTCATATCTTTCTTGGGCTCTTTTAATTTTTAATTTAAGAATTCAGTAAAGAAGAGTCAGGAAAGTATCTTCCATCATACTCATACACCATTTTGAATGTAATATTACAAGATCCACATATGTCTTGAGACCCACCCAAGGACCATCAAGGTCCATAATCTTAACTCTGGTGTCTCAATGCTATTCTATTAGTTTATCTGTCTGTCCTTACAGCTACCTTAACTGTAACCAGCATTTAACACTTTAGTTGTCAGCCCTACATGACATAAGTTGTTGAATTTTTCATATAATGTATTTTAGGTGCATAAAGAAAAAATTAAGCTAAGAAATGTTGTTTCTAATAAAAGCTCTAAGAAAATGTTTTAGGTAAGTTTCTATCCATAAGATTTCCAAGGTTTGGTTTGCCATTAATTTAATTCTCTAGTCTAGTGGTGAATGTCTAGTTTGTTATGTATCTGTTGTTTAGCATAAAAGCAAAAGTTGTTTATGTGGTGAATATTGCAATAACAGCCACTCAGACAAGACTTCTTTTTTCTTTTCTTTTCTAGAGGAAAGGCCAAGTTAGAGCAATGGACCAAAAATAAAAACAGACTGTCGACAATTTTTCTTGTGAATAAGCTCTGCTTAGCATGGGCCTAGTGATAGCCCACACCTCCTACACACATGTAACAGATATTTATCGAAAATAGCTATGTGCCAGCCTTCGTGAGAAAAGAAAAATGAATGAAATAAAGCTTGAAAATCAAATTTTCTTTGAACAGTTTGGAATATCATTATGCTTTATATCTCAATGTGCAAGACTGATAAGTTATAGCATGTGTATTACTATTTAATGACAGTGGCTAATTCTACAATTATACACTAGAACCTTTAAAACTTCATCTCCAGTGTTTTGTATTCATTCAGATGCTGTGTGAGCCCCAGCATAAATTCAGAAATCCTGTTTTGAAATTGTAGATAGGAGAAATGCAGTTTGTAACCTGAGTTACCAATGTTTTCTACATGTGATTTCTACATATATGTGATGTTTCTGAATTGATTGAAATATAGCCAGAACTTCATTACCTTTTCAATCCACAAGTGGCATCTCACCTCATATTTTAAATACAGAGTGAAGTGAGACCGAGATGACTTATTAGGACATAAGGGCAAATATTTGAGAAATGTCTACATGAACTAAGCAAGAGACAGAACTAGGACTGAGAATTTCAGGAGAATAAGAGCTCACTGAATGAGGAAGAAAAAAGAGGCACTAACATTTGCAATAAATAACTCTGGATATTTTTATGAATAAATGAAAGCAAGATGGAAGTTGACATTTCTCTATTTTGCATTTAAGAATTAAAGATCTACCAAGGAATAAAGATAAAGGTCTACTGAGTTGCATAAGCCTGGCATTAGAGACACAACGACCCTCATTGACAGGTGAAATTGATCTGGCATTTCCCAGAAGAGAAATGGACTTTCAGAAATTGCTTGATTCTTCTTTCAGGGCACTTCAACTATTTCAATAATTTAAGGTTATTTCTCATGGAAATGGAATCAATTTTCTCTAAACCTGAAGCACATTAATGAATATTCTGAACTTTCTCCCCTTAAGCCAAGTGGTAAGTGAGAGCCAAGCAACCTTGAAAGCTATTACATTAAAGAAAACAAAGTTTTCTCTCCTTGAGAAAAAATAGCTATTGGTTGATAGTAAACTTAACATAGGAAATACAAAGTTCCTGTGGCTATGATGTTCAGAGAAAACACCTTTGTTGGGGACCAGCTAATAGCAGTCACAGGGACTTACGGTTCTGCCACCTTTTCATTCATTAATATTTAAATGCATTTATCCATGTTTCATAATTCTACCTTCTCATAATGATTTGCACCTCAGCTTCCTTGACTTGTCCATTTTCTGATTTAAGTTGTACTTCTTAGAGTAGTGTGACCCCAAAACAGTAATGATGAATATTCTTTATCTAATAAACATGATTTCACATCTCCAAGTTACTCTACCTCAGTACCAGGATGCTTATGGCAGATGTCCTGCCACCATTCTGGGAACCAGAGTCTGAGAAAATGAGAGTTATATGTAAGGGTGCTTTGAATGAGATGTCCCCCATAAGCTCATATATTTGAATGTTTGGTTCCCAGTTGATGAACTGTTTGGGAAGGATTATGAGGAATGCCCTTGTTAGAGGAGGTGGGATTCAAAGCCCATGCCAGGCCCAGTTTGGCTCTCTCCCTGCCTACTACCTGCTTCCTGTTGCCTGCATACCATGATGTAAGCTTTTAGCTACTGTTCCATCACCAGACCTGCCTGCCATCGTGCTCCCTACCATGATGATCATGGACTAACCGTCTGAAACTGTAAGCAAGCCACCAGTTAAATCAGTGATTTTCAACCTGTGAGCCACAACCATCAGAAAAACACATAAATCCAATGGTTTGAAGAACTACAACCATAAATTTATTTTCATTGTTACTTTCTAGCTTATTTTGCTACTGAGTGGTCTAGTTCCTAAGACCATCAGAAATAAGTGTTTTGTGATGGTCGTGACCCCCAGGTTAAGCACCACTGATTTAAATGCTTTCATCTAAATGCTGCTGTGGTCATGTTGTCCTTTCACAGCAATAGACAGGAATGAAAACATTGTACTTTAAAGTTCCTAAAAACATTATAGCTTAGAAATTAAACCAAGAAAACATAATAATTATATCCAGCCACAGTTATCATCTGTAAGCTTAAATATCTGTGACAAAGACTTTTCTCTATAGTCCATCTTAACTATAGCTCCTAATTCTAATCCACTTAATAGTTCTCTTCTTCCCTAATGATTTCATCTTCCTAGCACCTTCGAGTCTCTGTCATCCAACTCTTAACCCAGTTTTATAGCTGGTGTTCACTGACAGCTTAAAACCTTGAACTTACGTCTCCACTTGGTGCTATTAACAAAGAAATGGTGCTTGCTAAAGTAAGAAAGAAAAACACAAACCCAGGTGTGATATTCAGAGGTAGAGCGCTTGCCTTGTATACTACAAAGTCCTAAGTCCAAGTGCAGGACTGCCCAAAGAAGAGGAGCCTTAAGAACAAAATCTAAATAACACACTGTTGTTGTTGTTGTTGTCTTTAACTACAGTTTTATTCGTTTATTTATTAGCTTAGTGCTTATGTGTTTTTGTGTGGATGCACTTGAGTTTTCAAGCTCATTTCACACGTGTATGGAGGGCAGAGGACAATTTGAGGGAGTTTGTGATCCCGAGGCTGGGACAAGCATCTTCACTCTATAAGGCTGCCTTGTTTTAAAGAGAGTAAATCATTACTTCTTTTTGATGAGTCTAATTATATATTTTTAGGACACATTATGGAATGAAAATCTAGTTAATTTTTTTATTATATGCAGAGTCTAACCATTTTCTTTATGAAAAGAACAAAATCGTGTACTAAGTTTATTTCTTGCAATCTCCTGTCAGAGGTTCACCAAGGAGGTCCTCCTCACCTTCCTGCCGGGCTGGAGCCGCTCTCTTCGCTTTCCCATGGGTCCTTCTTACTCCGTGGAACCGGGGGCTGCAGCATTTCAGCTGCCAGGGGATCAGCATCATTTTCTGCTCTGCCAATCCACTCCCCAATCACACGGGGTCTCAGAAGAGAAGAATTGAAAGCCACTGTCTCCTGCAAGTACAAAAATAAAAGGTGCTGCTTGAGATGACCTTTTCTTGTTAACTGATAACAGGAAAATAACGTTGCCCAGTGTTTGGGCTCACTGGAACCAAAATGTCCTTTCTCTTCTTGCCGTTCAAGCTCAATGCCTTCGTCTGTGACTTAGGCTAATTCCTGAGATCACCGTGATTAACTCTCTAGGAGTGAATTCTTGGATTCGGATTCTCGGGGCTGCATGGGTTCAAAGAAAGGGAGAGTGCGGCTGGCATTCTTGGTGGAGGGACAGAGGCTGCAAGGCCCACAGTGTGCAAGTGTGTTTCACCACAAATGGGAAAGGTGAGTAACCGGTCTTGTGGGAACGAGCTGCAGCCAGAAGACATTACTGTGAGGATGGAGGGTGGGAAGGATGCATTTCTCCCACGGTGATGCATTCTGTACTTTCAGGGAAGCAATAGAAATAGGAAATACCCAGGACAAATAGATCGGATTAGCTGAAAACATACTGGTCTCTTTCCATACACTTGAAGTGAGACAACTCATTTAATTTACCAATTCGCTAATGATATAGCCAAGAAAATATGTAACTACTAGAAATGCTTTAAGTGGAAAAAAGTTGTTATAAAGGAATATCTATATGATCTAATTTTTGTCTGAAGGCTCATGTGGACTTATATTCATCATTTGATTCATAATTCACTCATCTATTCATTCACTAGTTTTTCCTAAGGCTTAGTATGTGTTAAGAACTGCCTGCTGTGCTGGGAAAAGCAATAGCAATAAGGAACAGCTTTTAATAATGGTTTTGTCTAAAAGGAGAGACTGTCAGTTATTTTAATATCTTGCTTGGCATTTCCTTGTCTTTTCAATATTCCATTATAAATATATACTGTACAGTACAGGAAATGTCCTGATTTAAGAAACACATTCTGCTTAAATCTCCTTTACTGGAAATTTTCCCTATTAGGAGAATTTTGAACAACTCTTCAAAAATTCAGACCTGGTGTTCTGTGCCTTTATAATTCACAAAATATCATGCAAATGTATTGCAGAATAGAGTATATACAATATTTAAATTGCAGATATAATAAAAATTACAATACTTAATAGCAACACATAATAGTTTAGATACTATCTTAAAAATCAAGACCATAAAAAATGTTATTTAGGATATATTAAAATGACATTTCTCTGAGTTACAAGAAAAAGACTGGGCATTGATTAAATGTTATTAACTAATTTGTTTTACACAATGGGGCGGAATAGACACAGGTTTTCATTGCTATTGGCTCCCAGGCACAGGAGAACTGGTAACTTGCTTTTGCAAAACAAGTGGCTGCGGGAACCATAAATGAAAAGATGAAACAGAACTTAAGATCTGGCAAGATCAAGATGCCGAGAGCAGCAGAGATTCTGAAGTAACCCTTTGGTTGCTCACTGGGAAGTTAAATGAAGTGATAGACATCAGTGCTGTTGGAAAATGGAGCACGCAGAGGGCATAAATGGTGTGATAGTGGGGATGGTTAACTCCAGCCGGCACAGAAATTTAGTGAGAAATAGCCAGCCATCAGGGCAATGGGGAGAGCTGCACATGGGCTCAGGGAAGTTGGGAGGCCACTGATGTACAGGATTAAAAAGGGACTTGATCACTGACTTGTACTTCTCTGAATACACGAAGCTCTTTCTTTGGTGATGTTGATAAAAGGATGGACAAGTACTACTTTAAAAAAATATTTTGTCATTGAAAGATCTTGAATATAGTCTGTTCATGTGCAACAGATTGAAGACACAGATTTTTGTGTGTATTTTGTTTAGATTGGATTAAACTCAGTAAATGTATTTCTATGTATATATCTTTCTCAAAGTGTTTTAATAAAGTAAACTATTCTCAATAGTACATAACCACACAACAGTAAATAAAAATTAAATATATTTAAACACACACACACACACACACACACACACACACACACACACACACACACACGGGGATCGGGGTGTGACTATGTAGAACTGACTGTCCTGGAACTCACACTGTAGACCAGGTTAGCCTACACTCACAGAGGTTTGCCTGCCTCTGCCTCCCAGGTACTGCAATTATAAGCATGTGCCACCACATCCAATTAAAATGTATACTAATAACACAAAATCTCTTGAAAACTGTTTTAGGTTCATAGATACATTTCACTTAAAAACCTGAAGGATCTTTGTAAATGTGAATTCTTTAGAAACAGAAAACCACAAGTCCCTCTGTCCCCTCCAGGACTGAGGTCCCCAAACAGTGCCTAAATTCAACAGCAAAAGCATTCCTAGTGAAAAAGCACCCCCACCCCCACCCCTGCACAGGTAGACTTGGTTTTGCCCATTAGCAAGAAGTTACACATCCAGAAATTAGCTGTTCCACCCATATTTACTCTTCCAGGAATATGCTCTCTAAAGTATACCCCACAATTACTTCAACTGCTCTTATAAGTTGGGCTCTTGTCAGGCTTACAATTTCAAATGTCCCCTAAATCTGTGTGATGGAGACTTTGTCTCCAGCCTGGGAGGCTTCCTTAAGAGAATGGGCCTGTTGGGAGGATGCTGGCTCATGGGAGTGTGCTCTTAAAGCAGATATTGGAACCTTGCTCTCATCTCTCACTTCTGCCCTCAGACACCATGAAGGACGCAGTTCACTCCTCTATGTACCCTCCACCATGAAGCTCTGTCTTGCCATGGGCCCAAGTAATGGGGTCAATTGACCATCAACTAAAAGCTTTTGACTGTACAGCCAAAATAAACGATATGAACATCCAAATATTTTAAGAAATGTGAAATCTCTAAAGAGTTCTGAGTTATGATTAAAACAACAGGAAGCAGAAAGGTATAAAATACCAGTGAGAGTATAAAATAGGAAACAAAACCCTGTACTGGGTCTGTTTGAATTACTTTTGGAGTAATAATCATCAAAGTAGGAATCAGTGTAGCTTCAGTGGATAGAGAAAGGATTAATTCTGTCACTGTAAATGTTATAACAACAACAACAACAAATACCTAAAACTTCCACTAAAACTAGTATTGAGATAAAGTGGTTTTTTTGTGAATTAGAGATTCTTTTGAGGGGAGAGTTTTGACTCTCTGATAATAGAAAGACAGTAAAGCAGTGAGGGGCAGCAGAGGAGACATTTAAACTGCTGCTGCTGTTCTAATTTGGTATAAAACTGTAAGGGAGTGAATCACTAGGCTGTGGGAAGTGGAGCTCCATGGTGGAGTTTGGAAAGCCAAGGTAAAGGGGCAGCATGAATGTGGGAAGAATATTTCTGAGCATCGTAGGAGCTCAGGGTTTAGCATGGTGTGTGTCAAAGATGGACAATGAGAACTCTTGCCGCCCAGAAGCTTCACGGCTGCTGAAAATTGGGCCATAGCTAGGGGTGAAGTAAGAGTATGCAGGAAATCCCTGCATGAAATCCACTAAATGTGTGACTTGATCACAATCTAAAACAACTATGCATGATGAACTAATTCAGATATTAACCCTGAAGAAGAAATAAAGGACATATTATAGGCACAAAGGTAAAAGAGTTTTCCCCACCCACTGGTACCTCAGCATAGACTAGTTAAGACATCTTGTTTCAGTCCTTAATGGAATTTATTTATACACGCATTTTTTTTTCCTCTAAAACTTTAAGTCACATTCACTGAAAAAAAAAAGCAACCTAGAACATTCTATGTTTTACTAGTCACCCTGTTAAGCCATCATATGAATAATACAAAGGAAAGTCACTTTTATTGTTTGTTTCAGAACATATTTACTAAAATGCTAATGGCTGTCAAGTTTCATTTCTACATTTTTGCTGCTCTGTTTGCACATACTTTATACAGCATCAATTATAAATGGAATACAAGAACCCATGATGGCTCCAGTTTATACCACAGTAAGACGGCTCACTCTGGGATTTTATTTGAAAACAAACATGCCACCCTTTCTGATTTCCATTTGTTCACATTTACAGGGTACAGATGTGCCATGCCTTACTGAACATAATTACACAAAGCAACTATAGAAGGGAGGGAAAGGGAGAAGTTTGAAGAGCAACAATAAAATGAGTAAGGGGGGAGGATCAATTCTCAGAACTCAGATCCCATCCCTTATACAATTTTCTTACAAGTGTTTTGCAGAGAATTGAACTATGTGGTCACATACACTTACCATTTGTACATATGTACAATATCCAGCCATCTCCATGGCAACTTCCCTTGTCTCAGTCATTTCCAGTCTATCCCCTCTGCTCATTTTATTTGTTTACAATTATTTACTGCCTCCTTACTTTATCTATTCTGATTGATTGATTGATTGATTGATTGATTGATTGAATCAATGTCTCAGTATGAGCTCTGGCTGACCTAGAACTTGCTATGTATATCAGGCTGTCCTCAAACTCATAGAGATGCTTCTGCCTCTGCCTCTTTCTCGAATGTTTGGCTTAAAATTATGACCCACCACGATGAACTTAACTGTCTCTTTAAAGTGATCTCATTCTGTAAAATTTCACTTCCTTCTCTGATGAACTTTGGTTTTCTTGTATGTCTCTTTTGTTATAGTTTCTGCTTGATCAACAAATGCCCTAACTCCTAACTCTAGCTAGCAGAATAACTGTTACAGCTGTTGAACACATTTCTATATTATATTTATCCATATAGTCTGGGTTTTCTGAAAACACCCTGTTTTCCAAATATCCAACAACATTAGATGAAATACTATAAGGTTTTAAACGCAAAATTTCAGAGAAAGGAACTCTGAGAAATGATGGGAATAGTTCCCAAAGGAAAAGTCCCTGTGCAGGAAACAAAGTAGGAGCTGATGAAGGATCTTCCATAGGCCCTTCAGGAGCTGCCAAGAAACCAACAACCTTAGACCTTAATGGTCCTTAGTGTGGGGGGCCAATTTGAATGACCCCAATCTTTAATCTCCCTGTGTCCCTATCTTTTATCATGGGACTTTTGAGTATCTCAAATAAAGGTAAAATATAGTTTCT